TTTGACCACGAACTTTCTTTACAACTTCATTTCAACCTTGGTTTGAAGGGCAATTCAATAGTTTTACATCTCATTTAAAAAGCTTGACTTACTCTTTTTGACGGTTAAATCTAACAGAAAAACTACCAATTTCATTTTAACAAAAATAATAGGGAATTTTCAAATCATAAGGAGGTAGTTTGAACATTCACTTAACCCCAAGGAGCATTTTAACATTTAATTCCATGTTTTACTATGAAAAATATGAGAAGGAAGCGATATAAAAAATTTAAGTATATGAATAATTTGGTTTAAGATTCTTATATGAGGGCAATTTGACCAAAAAAAAAATCAATTTAAAAAAGCTTAAGGAGAGAGGTGGGATGAAATTGCAGAGAAACAATCGGGGAATTTAAAATTTTGTTATAATGTTATAGTATTTTAATAGTCTTGGGGTAGGGAGGCGGAGATTGCCCGTCCTCTCCTCAATCTGGCTCCACCATTGCTTATGATTCTTAATGATAAAATCCCCATCGATGGGCAGTTAATAAGGTATATCGCTTTGGGATGGAACATTTCTTTGTGAAAACATATTGACTGCACTATAAATTTTTTTTTTTATAAGTTAGTAGACAATAGATAATTAGCACTCCAATATCTTAGTTTGGATAATTAAATTATTTGAAATAATTTTTATTTTATTTCCTAAACATATTTCCAAATCACCTTTCTTATCCCATATGTACATCACTTAAGTAACTAATAAATTACAAACTCTATTAAAAGAAAATCTCAAACTTTGTTTGATAGCACTAACCTTGTTTAAAATCTTTTGTTAAACATCAATTTTATGATTAGTGGGCTAATTGTGCCACCTTCCCTCCCATTAGGAGCCCAAAATTCACGCCTAAAGGGTACTATTCTCTATGCAGCTAATGTTTGTGGAGATTAATATTATTCCTCGAAGTTTTCAATTGGAACCTTATGCCTGATTTTTTATTCATCATATAGAGCAAATTATACAATACATACATATATAATTATATATATATATGAGGTCAAAGTGTAATATACCAATATGCTTATGATATCGACCCTTTTTGGTAGGCCTAATATCCTACCTTCTCTTACACCTAGTTTTTTTATTAAAAAAAAAAAAAAATTAAAAGCCCAACTTCCATCTTTTTAGTTTGTTTTTGCATGACAGAATTATTTTTTTTTTACTTTTCTTTATTAATGGATAATATTGTAAACATGTACATACGGTGGACACCGGCGTCGTAATAACGTAGAACGGAACCCACATAACCTACAAGCAAGGCTTGGGATGTTTCAATAGCGTTAATTATGATGTGTCATCCTATTCTTGGCCCTTAAGAAAATGGATCAAAAATTTGGTTGGCACTAATATAAGTTAACTCAGTTGCTGGGCGATCTGTAAAAAAATGACTCATGATTCTAAAGATATGACTAATATGTAGTGGTGATCGAAATCGAATTAATCTAGACGGCAAAAGTGAGGACCAAAACTGATTTTTATGGCGATGTGAACATGTTCAAAATTTCAAATGACGATCTGAATTAACTCACCCAAATTGTCACCGGAACTACTAACGCTGCATTGAGAAAGGGACCCCATTCCGGCCCATTAGGCAAAAGTTAAGATGATGGGCTGGGCTAAAATTTCCCTCAAATTTTGCCTCCTCCATGTGTATTAAAGGCGGAAGACCTCTGATTTGATTGGGGAATTTCAGCCATTAATCTAGCACCAAATGTATTCAAGTGATCTACAGGTCTAACGATTAAAGTTAAAATTCTAAAACATAAAAGTTCTGGATTTTAATTTTCCATTCTCTCCTCACTTCTTAAATTCGATTCTTTTTTTTTTATTAGAAAAAATACAAAAAATTATCAGCAGTGGAAGGTCCCGTTGAAGAAGAAGATTACTTCGACTGGGAACTAACTAATTTGAGGGAAGGTCCGGTTGAACATGTTTTAGATCTTTTGTGAAACAATTTGAGGGAAGAAAGCAATTTTGAAAAGCTTAGGACGTCCGAGAGTGGGCAATTAATTGCAAACAACGTTTGGAGATTTGGAAGTTTTTCCTTTACAAGTTTGTATAGTTTTCAAGAGTTCAAGGAGAGGATGGCGTTGTTCACCTCAGCTCAAAGTTTGTATAGTTTTTCCTTTGGGATGAAACAGATTTTCGCAAAAACATTTTATATATTGAAGGTACCACATGTTGTATTTGGATATCTTGAAGTTTTTAACAGAAACCTTACGTCCATGGGGCAAATCGTACGTCTAGAGTTCATGGGGACAAACAATTACGTACTCACCCCCCCAAGTTCAAGAAGATAAAGTGGAACTAACTTTTTCTTGTACCTATAAGTGGAACTAACTTTTTCTTCTTAAAGTGGACCTAACTTTTTTAAAATTTTTAATAAGAGGCTTTTTTTTAATAATTTTTAAATTTTTTAATAAGAATCAAATCAAGGATCATAGTTATGTAAATAATGCCCGTTTCACCTAATTTACATCTTTGACAAAGCTAATAACAATTTTGTCATTTATTATATAAGTTTTTGAGTTTTCCCAAAACACTACAACCATCCCTCATTTCTTTGATTTTGTAATTCCCATTAGAACTAATCAAGCTCTTCAGCTTTTTTTTTTTTTTTTTTTGGTCAATTTTTGGCATTTCAATTTTAGAATATTTGCCAGATATTTGATTAGTTTGGTGATTTTCTTGTCAAGCACTTCATATTATTCTAAACTGTAAAAGTGAGGATCAAAACTTTTTTTTTTTTTAATGGTGATGATCAAAACTGTTTTTTTTTTTAAATTATTAATTACTAATTAGCTAACTTAACTATAACTACACTTGGGAGTCAAATTTTGATGGAGGTTGATATGTTGGAGTTTAACTTAACAATTAAAGTTGGAACTCTTGTTTATTTCAATGTTGTTTAAGAATTGAGATTATGAGTTAGGACTTAGGATATGAACCCAATTTTTTTTTGGATATCATATTTGTTTGAGTTTAGTTGATTGAATTTTATTAGGAAAACATATAGGATATTATTTTGTTACAACAATTTTTTAGATAAAATTAAAATATTTTAACTCACTATTGAAATTTCAGATTTCGAATATTAGCGAATTATCGATTTTCCGATCCAATTTACGAAATTAAAATTTGGATGATAATTGAATATTGGTCTTAAACAACCGATTCTGGATTATCCAATGAAAAGAGCCACACTTCATGTATTATCCAATTCAGCGTTCCGCGCTTCTATATGAATGATATAATTAACATGTGTTGTACGACATAGCAAAATCACATAAACTTGAGGGTGCACAAGCAATTGTTCCTGCCCCTCGTAAAATTTACAAAATTCACTCTCTATCTATATTTTCTTCGTAAATTTAACAAAATTCTCTCCTCTACGTAAAAGTTTTGTAATAAATGCCTCTAACAAAACTATTGGACCTTCTACATTAAACATACATGTATGTGGTAAAAAAAAAACTTCATCCATTTCTCAAAGGCTCGAGAAGCTTGAGATCTCTTTTCCATTTCTTTGATTTTGCAATTCCCATGAGACCAAATTAAGATCTCTAGCTTTTCATCTTTAATTCCGAACTATCAAGTGCAAGATATTTGACAAATATTTATTTACTTTGGTGTTTCTTGCCAAGCGTTCTCATATTTAGTTTAATTAGAAAAAAGGGATCAGAATTGATTTTTGGGGAGATGTGAATCAGAAGATCAATTTAACAAACAAATGATGTGGAACTATAGTTCTACTCATTGACTGGTGGACCAGCACGTCGCCAGATATACAGGATTTCTTTCGCTTTTCTTGATTTGAAATGCACTGGGAATTGTCGATTTTTTGACCGCAACTTTTTGATGGTTTCAGACCCACCAAAATGTTTAGGTTACAAAAAAGTTTTATGAGAGAATGTTTTCATTGGAGAAGGAAGCATGGATCCATCCACACCAATTTTTTAAGGGCTGGCAGCATAAGCAACATTCTCAAGAGTAAGCATGCAACAGAGAGGACGTTGCGGTGAATCTTTGGTTAATTGATCCAACCCAATAAGAATCAGTTGGCCCATGCCAAATTCTGATATCAAATTTGCTAACAACTTTTCAATTTGAGAATTATCAGCATCATAAAAGAGCAAGTGCTCGACATCTGCAGTGGTGTGGACGGTCGACCTTCAAAAAGACATAAAAAAGTTGTTGGGGTTTTATCACATTATTTTCAACAATCAATTGCACGCAACCGCTGTTGATGCTTTATCACTTGTATACATGGTACCCCCCTTCTGACCTCCTTTCTTCAAATAACCAATGTACCAAAGAAATACAATGGGGCATCTGAATTTTCTTGATGCTACTACTTCACTACTATCGTTATTCTTATTCATTACTGTTCTGGTACCCAGCCAAATTCCATTTGGCCATAGTGGACCAGATCGTTCTTCAAATTTCACCTGCATTGAAAGTGAACAACAAGCTCTTCTTCGATTCAGGGATAGTTTGACAGATGAATCAAATCGTCTATCATCATGGACCGGAGGAGACTGCTATTCATGGAAAGGAATTGGTTGCCACAGAACAACTGGCCGTGTGGTTAAACTCGATCTACGTAATACAGTACAACCTGCACTTCACATTTTTGATCCTTCATACCATTCCACACCTTGCTTGGCAGGCCAGTATTTAAGTCCATCTTTGGTCAATCTGACCAATCTACGATACTTGGACTTGAGCTTGAATAATTTCTCAGGAATTCAAATTCCCACATTTCTTGGATTGCTGAAAGACTTGAGATACCTTAATCTCTCAGATGCAGGATTTGTTGGTGAAGTTCCCCATCATTTAGGAAATCTCTCGCATTTAAGGTATTTAGATATTGGTGTTTTAAGTGGAAATATCATTCCAACACATAATAACTTGATAAGTAAAGATCTTGGGTGGGTCGCTAGACTCTCTTCTCTTGAAGGCCTATTCCTAAACGAAATAGACCTTACGAAAGCTCAAGATGGGTTACTAGCAGTTAACATGCTTCCTTCGCTAATAACACTACATTTGGAGAGTTGTGGACTTATAGTTCCTCACTTTTTACAGGTCAATTTCACATCTCTTTCTTCCCTGATCATCGGTTTCAATCAATTTAACCACCCCACAATCCCTCCTTGGCTGGGTAACCTTACGGGCCTGCAAGATCTTAGTCTTCGTGCTAATTATCTAGGTGGTAAGGTTCATGATACATTTAGGCAAATGACCTCTCTAGTTGACCTCGATCTAGTAGGAAATAGCTTTGATACTTCAACATTGAGATCCATTTGCAACGTCAGCAGTCTTACTTCTTTGGATATGAGCGATAATCAGTTGCAGGGTTCAATACCAAGTGAAATAGGCCGGCTTTGGAAACTAACCGGACTATATCTGGACTCTAATATGCTAAATGGTACCATTCCCTCGAGTCTTTGGGAACTCACCCAGTTACAAGCATTATTTGTTCAGGGAAATTCATTAACCGGTGAACTATCTGAACACCATTTTGCAAAACTCAAAGAGCTAAAGAGGTTGGACATTTCTGATAACTTATTCTCTCTGCACGTGAGCTCCTCTTGGGTTCCTCCTTTTCAACTACAATATATTGGGATGGGATCTATCAAAATTGGGCCCCGGTTCCCAAATTGGCTACGCACGCAAAAGGAGATTGAACAGTTAAACATGGCGAATGCCGGCATTTCAGATGCCATACCCGGCTGGTTCGGAGTGCTTTCTAATGATCCTGGTGGCATAATTCTCTCCGGTAACAAATTGGAGGGATCTCTCAACTCATTTATTTCAGGTATTTAAAATTTGGATCTTTTTCAAAGTTCATTTACAGGACATAGTACAGTGGATGACGTTGTTGTTCTTTTTTTTTTTTAATTAAATTTTTATGCAACAGTAGCTGATGTTGATAAAAAGTTTGTACAAATTTCACTGGTAGTATCCCGGAAGACTTGTGCAAGTTGAAAACTTTAGAATAGTTAGATCTATCCAACAACCATTTGTCCGGAAGAATTCCTTTATGCTTGGGAAACTTGCGATATTTGAGTATCCTACATTTGGGAAGTAACAGCCTATATGGTCAGATCCCAGGTTCACTGGGCAACTTGGGAGAACTTATTAGTCTGCAATTGAGTAAAAATAGGTTTGATGGGAAGCTCCCTCCTTCAATGCAGAATCTGAAAAGATTGCAGTTCCTGGATCTGGGAGAAAATAGAATAGCGGATACTATACCAGCGTGGATTGGGGAAAGGTTATCAGACTTGGAGTTTCTGACACTTCAGACGAATAATTTCCACGGAGGTATCTCTAATACACTCTGCCAACTCCCACATCTTCAAGTGCTCAACCTAGCACATAATGATTTATCCGGATCTATTCCTCACTGCTTTAAAAACTTCACCGCGATGGAATCAACTAAACCAGGAACATTTGAGTTCAACAATTCTTATCTTGATCCCGTACTGCGAAACTTTAAGGCAGGAATAGAGCTTGAGTACTCAAAAAACCTACCGTCTGTTAAATCCATTAGCCTCTCAGGAAATCATTTGGTCGGTGAAATCCCGGATGAGATAATGGGTCTCGTTGGGTTGCAAACTTTGAACCTTTCAAAAAACCATCTAAATGGAAGGATCCCCAAGAACATTGGCAATTTGAAGCAACTTGAAACACTTGATTTATCGATGAATGAACTCAGAGGTGAAATCCCTCCAAGCTTGTCGAGTATATACTCATTGAGCTCTCTGAATTTGTCATACAATAAGCTATCAGGGCCGATACCATCTGGAAATCAACTTCAGACCTTGAATGATCCATCCATCTATGAGGGAAACATTGGACTCTGTGGGAAGCCACTCCTGAACAGCTGCCCTGCAGACGAATCGCCAACAGAAAATGGGCCTGTTCTTGACGACAAAGGTCACAGCGAGTTTGATTTCTCATGGTTTTATGCCGGTTTTGGACCTGGATTCAGTGTTGGTGTAGTGGGAGTTGTGGGAATCCTTCAATTCAAGCAGTCATGGCGCTATGCATTATTCAAATGTGTGGAAAATGCCTATGACGGAATTTGGGTTATGATCGGATTGAAGACTTCTCGTCTACGGAGGAATTTCCATTGAGTAAGTATATGTACAAAAGCACTTAAAAATATTGCAGTAATTTGTTTATGCAGATTAATTTAAGCACTGGACTCCATGTAATCTTAACAGGGTAATAATCATGATTTCACTTTGGTATCATTTGATCAGCGGTTGGAGTTCAAAGCTTAAAATACCATCTTCCATTCATCTAGCTACACATTTGATCTACTCTTCATTCATTTGACAGCTTATTATTGTAGATTTTTTAATAAGAAATTTATGCATTAGCTCAAATTTATTAAAGGACTATTTATCCAAAATATCTCTCCATCCAAAATGTGCTACTTGGATTTACACACGTGCTGTGTCACAACCGAAAACCTCGATAACTCCCACTTGTCAACTTCTAAAACTCCTCTATTTGGACGTTTTCTTTCTCGTCAAATTATCAAATGCCCCGTAATTGCAAAAATTTTATTGCCGGAAAAAGCCCACAAACAATTTTTCGAGCAGAAAAAAATTCCGATTATATATATGTATTTTTTCATTTCTGTTATTCTAATTCAACATGGCACTAGAGTAATTAAAATCGCATTTTAAGGACTCTGCTTCGCATATCACAAGAGATTGATTCAATCAAGACAAAAGTGTAATCGTCATAAAAAATTGAAAATGAATACTCCCTCATATTATTATGGTGCTTGACTATAGAATTACTTTATCATCATTATATTTTATTCATTATATTTATTTTAGCATTTCAATAATTATGTGTCGTTAAAGCTAATAAAGGCAAGTATAATCGTTAGTCAATTGTAGCTATCTTTCTCTAAAATTTCACACACCTGCATCACATGCAACTCTTAAAAGGCAACAGCATTTCTGGCTAATGATGCTGATCTTGGAAATTTCTGAATCCAAGCACCCAATAAAGTAAACAAAACAAAACAATGGGTATTTTTGTTTTTGTTTGTCCACTATAGCAGCCCACATCTTGTGGACATAAAATGCAATTCTAAAATATATTTTAGGTAGCCAGCTGCATTAATGTAGAGAAAGAAATATCGTTAAAACACTAAAAGCAATAACTAAACTTTAATCACGTTCTCCTTCAATTTTAGTGGTATCATGACTGTGACTCTAGACGACTACTAATATCAAAATCTCATTCAACTTGCATGTTAATATATATATATATATATATAATATCACTGGTTATAAGATCTTTTATGTTTTTTTTTACTCTTGCTTGATAATATGCTAAATTGATGATGATTGAGAAATCCAAAATATAATGAACAAGAACTGTACATAATTACCAAAAGCATTTTCCACATTCTTATGACTTAATGAAGTATCTAAAATATTTATCAAGAGTGCCGTGAGGGGAAATTGATAGAGCCAACCACAAATTCACTTATTGTTTTCATAGTTTAGTTTCCTTTTACCCGTATTTCATTGACTTTTTTCTAACCCTCCTACCTCTTCTTGCACCCTTTCTATTCCCAACTATGAGGTACAAGATTTAAACCTTGAACCTGACAGCAAAAAAACCCTTAGGAGCCCTCTTTTAATCACTAGGCCGACCCTAGTGTTTAATTCATTGACTTTGATTAACTGTAAAACCAATAGTAATGAATTTTTATAGTATAGCAAAATACATATCTTATTTTGCCAATGGGGACACCCCCACTTACCCATATGTAACTTCGCTATCGGTTCTAATTTCTAAGAATAGACGACAAGCATACAAAATAGAGGAGATAGGCCTAATATAAAATTCAAACACCCAATTATTGACTCGAGTGTTGCGTTGCATGCCAACTATTCTGTCATAATGTTCCACGTTTTGTCAGGGTCGCAAGACAATTTCTGGAATTGGAACTGAGTATAGAGAACGGGAAGGAAAAGAAGAACAAGAAAGAATCAGAAAAGATGAGAGGGAGGGAAAAGGAGAGAGAGAGAGAGAGCTAACAGAAAGGAAAGAGAAAATGATTCTGGCATTTATTCTCATAACCGTATTACAAATGCAGAGGGACTATTTATGCAATTGATCCCAACAGAATTTAGCGCTCATTACATCCACCGCCCTTTCTTAAGTAGAACGGCATCGTATTATCACTGATTGGTTAAACGCAAAGGTTGCTACACTAAACGACCCCGTGGTACTTTATTTGGTCCTGACAGTCCCACCTTCTTAACAAAAAGCTTGTCCTCAAGCTTGGAAGTCTGGGAACTGGCTGTCTATGAAGCTTCTATCCTCCCAGGATGATTCCGACTCTGGTAAATTGTTCCATTTTACCAAGTATTGGACGACTGGTTTAGCAGCTCTCATTATTGCCCTTCTCTGGAGAACCTTCTCTGGCCTCAATAGGCATTGGTCTGTCATATCTAATTCTGGCAGGTTGGACTCCACACTCTGTGCAAGTCCTACCTTCTTCTTGAGTAAGGAGACGTGAAATACTGGATGAATCCTGGCCCCCTCAGGTAATTTGAGTTTGTAGGCTACTGCTCCCACCTTTGCACTAATCTGGAAGGGTCCAAAATATTTGGCAGATAGTTTTAAGCTCCTACGAATAGCAACCGACTGTTGCCTATAAGGTTGTAACTTGAGAAATACCCAATCTCCTTCCTGGAACTCTCTCTCTGAACGATGTTTGTCAGCGAAAACCTTCATGCGATTTTGAGCTTTGGCCAAGTTCTCTTTGATGAGAGATATGACCTGAAGCCTTGACTGGACCATACTGCTGGCAGCAGGTATGATGCTATCATGGAAGGGTCCCAAGGGTATATGACTAGGTTTATATCCATACAATGCCTCAAAGGGTGTTAGCTGCAAGCTGGTGTGAAAGTTAGAATTGTACCATAATTCAGCTGTAGGTAGCCAGCTGCTCCAGTGGGAAGGGTGGTTACTGCACATACATCTGAGGTAGTTTTCCAAGCACTGATTGACCCTTTCAGTTTGTCCGTCTGATTGGGGATGATATGCTGAACTATAGTGCAAATTCACTCCCAATAAACGGAATAGTTCCTGCCAGAAGTTACTAAGAAAAATCCTGTCCCTATCAGATATGATTGTTTCTGGTAGACCATGTAGCCTGTATACATTATCCAGAAAAGTCTGAGCCACCTGCTGTGCAGAATAAGGATGAGTGAGTTTGATAAAGTGACTGAACTTAGTGAATCGATCCACCACTACCAGTATGGTATCAAATCCATGAGATGGTGGTAGTTGCTAAATGAAGTCCATGGTAAGATGTGACCACGCTTGTTGAGGCACTGGAATAGGCTGCAGTAGACCAGGATAAGGGACATTTTCGTGCTTGTTCCTCTGGCAAACATCACAGGATCTGACATATTGGATAACATCCCTTTTTAACCCAGGCCAATGGAACAAAGCCTGTATTCTGTGCAGACATCCCCTCTGTCCTGAGTGACCCCCAATTGCTGAGTCATGCAAGAGCCTGATCAGCCTGACCCTGATGTCATTGGCTGAGCCTACATACAGTTTCCCTTTGAACTTAAGTACCCCTCATTCCACCTGATAATCTGGATCTGCATGGGGGTCCAGTAGTAGCTCAGCTAACTTCTGCTGAGCCACTGTATCCCCAGTATAACTTTCTAGCACCTCCTGCATCCACCTAGGTTGAACTGTGGAGATGGCACATACCTGGTGCTCAGCTTGTTCACTGCCCGTGTCAATTCCCTCCAATCTCCTTCTGGACAAGGCATCAGCTACCCCATTTTCTGAGCCTCTCTTGTACTGTATTTCATAATCCAATCCAAGTAGTTTGGTTAGCCATTTGTGTTGCAGAGGATGAGTAAGTCTTTGCTCCAACAGATGTTTAAGGGCTTGGTGGTCAGTCTTGATGATAAAGTGGTGGCCAACTAAATAATGCTTCCATTTGCTCACAGCCAATACTAATGCAAAAAGCTCCTTCTCATAGACTGACAGCCCCAAATTCTGAGCTGATAAAGCTTTGCTAAGGAAAGCCAAGGGATGTCCCTGTTGCATCAGTACTGCCCCAATGCCAACCCCACAGGCATCAGTCTCGATCACAAAAGGAAGATCAAAGTTTGGCATACTCAACACTGGAGCTGTGGTCATGGCTCTTTTTAAATCTTCAAAAGCCAACTGAGCATTGTGATTCCATGTAAACCCTTCTTTCTTAAGCAGGAGTGTCAGTGGCTTGCTGATCACCCCATACCCCCTTATGAACCTTCTGTAGTAACCAGTTAATCCCAGAAAACCCCTCAATTCCTTTACTGTTTTAGGAACAGGCCATGACTTGATGCATTCTATCTTGGTAGAGTCCATGCTCACCCCTGCTTCAGATATTATATGCCCCAGGTATTCAATTGAAGTTTGAGCAAACGAACACTTTGACCTTTTGCAATATAACTGATTTTCTGCTAATACAGTGAGTACAGTTTGTAGGTGCTGTGCATGCGACTCCAAGGTTGGACTGTACACCAGAATGTCATCGAAGAATACTAAAACGAACTTCCTCAGATATGGCTGAAAAATCCTATTCATCAATGCCTGGAATGTGGCTGGAGCGTTTGTCAGTCCAAAAGGCATTACTAAGAATTCAAAGTGGCCATGGTGTGTCTGGAAAGCAGTTTTGGGAATGTCAACTGCCTTAACTCTTAGCTGATGGTAGCCAGCTCTGAGATCGAGTTTAGACATATATTTCGTGCCATGCAACTCATCTAACAACTCATCTATATTGGGGATAGGAAATTTGTCTTTTACAGTTAATTCATTCAGTTTCCTATAGTCTATACAGAGCCTCCAAGAATTATCCTTCTTTTTTACTAACAATACTGGAGAAGCAAAAGGACTAGTGCTGTGCATAATAATTCCATTAGTGAGCATCTCAGCAACCTGTTTTTCAATTTCTGCTTTGTGAGAGTGGGGGTACTTGTATGGCTTGAGTTTAAAAGGCTCAGCACCTGGTTTGAGGTTGATCTGATGATCCAGCTCCCTCTCTGGGGGTAAGCCTTTAGGAGTGGAAAACACCTCCGAATGCTGTTGCAGGATTCTTCCTATGGAGTCTGGAAGCTGATCCTCTGATCCCTTTGTTGCTTCTGTCTCCAGTGCTACACAGCTTGTTTGCTTCTCCTGTATGAACGTTCTGAGGTCCTT